AGGAAACCCCCTTTGCATGTCCCAGAAAAAGGGGACACTAGCCCCTGAGCCTCCAGCAGGCAGTCCTTAGCTTTTCAGACCCCAGAATGCCTTCAAATAATATCAAAGTGTGAGCCACAGGCTGGCCCAGGCTGAACTCTGACTAAAAGAGGAGTAATGTTTAACTTGTATGAAGATAGTTTGTTCAGCTGAAGTATTACAGGACCAGCCCTGGGGTAAAGGTTGTTTGTAATCATGGGAGTGTCCACTAAGACAAGGAAAAGTAGTCCCTGGTCACCTCCTTCACCGCAATGAAACGTGAATTCCTTCCCCTGACCCCTGGCGGTGCTGTGGCCGAGTGGAACCGCAGAACCGCAGCGGCTCAGTGTGCAGCAGTAACGTTCCAGTGCCTGAGCTACCAACCCAGTGCCCTCAGGTCTGGTCCGGCACTACTTCCAGAGCAGCAAACACGGCCAGATGAATTAAAATAAATACAAGATGGAAACCCAGTATCTTAAACAGCCAACAGGAAGAGAAAAACAACCCAAAAAGATTAGCTTTAGAAATTGAGAAGCTGACTGAAACGACTCTTCCTTTTCTAGAGTTGATAGAACCTGTCTTTAAATTCTTAACAGAGTCACGAAACATATAAATAAAACAAACTGTATGATGAAGCTTGGATTTTATTTATACTTAGGTTTATATACTGCAACAGAACATTGTAGGGTAATTAAGCAATGATTTTGCCTCTTAAAAGTTCTTTCAAACCTGAAACTAGAAGCTTTTAAAATTACTTAGCAAAGCGCAGCACTACTCCTAATTAAGGCCCTGTCTCAGCTAAAGGACTTTTCAACTTAGTTATAACAGCATGAACTGTAAGGAAACTAATGACGCTGTGTGCATTTCTGTCAGGTAACTAGAGCAGTCAGCAAACAAAGCTTTGCAGGCAGGAAACAAAAGCCCGGGAGGAGCTGACGGTGTCAGAGTGGAGACGGTACATCCCCACAGCTGACAGCGCTGGTGACGGTACGTGCTGTGGGTCCCTCCAACCTACTGCCCCCACCAGGCCACTGTCATTCAGAAAATCCACAAAGAGAAACAAGGATAAAACAGTACACAGCTGAAACTTCATCAAGGAGGACAGCGAAATTATTAGCAGAGCCCAGACTGTGCCTCGTGATGGAGAAGAATAACGAGAACATTAACCACATTACTGTAAATTAAGAACACACTTTACAAACCCCAAATTTAATGCAGGTCTGCCCAAATGCAAGCTTGAATTATACTGAGAAATATGAAAACAGTGAAATGTTGATTTTATGAATCACAGAGGTGATTTTTTTTCTGCTGCCAGTTGGAGGAATAATGCACAGGGCTTCTTGCTAATAGGTAACAAGATCTGGCATCATACTTTGACATTTTCACATCAGAAAAACTGAACACACCAGAGTTGAGTCTGCTGGAAAGGCAGCAGTTTCTGTTCAGCAGCGATGGTGCAAAACTACGCACCCTCAGTGGAGGCGTGGGGTTAGGGAGGAGGCGTGGGGTTAGGGAGGAGGCACGCTGATCCAGCCGGGGCTGTCAGGACTTGGCTACTTGCTATTAAATCACACTCTTAATTAACTTACAGTTTTGTATGGTCGCTCTTCAGTTAAGAATCTATTATGATTGTGGCAGAAGAGACAATTTAAAAATATTTTTTTCCTGAACAGATTTTAGGACAGAGTTCCTAAGGGAGCTTATGAATAAATTATTCAGGTTCTCTGCATATTTTCAGCTTGTACAGATACTGAAATTCAATTTGTCTTATTGGTATTTTGGCTTCAAATACGTATATTAACTTTCCTAATTCAAAACAGTGCTTGCTTAAATTTGCCCCAGTGAGCAGTTAATATCTTTCTTTGGCACAAAGTTTCTTTCATTTGTGGATTACATGTGTGTATATAATTTGACACAGGAAATTTATATTCTGCTTCATCAGTTGGGCTGTGTCTTGCCTCTAAGGGGAGCGGTGTACCTGCAATCTTCCTGGAGTAAAGAGAAGACAAGGACAGAATCTCCCCAAGACCTGCACAGAATTGTCATCGCAGCAGGGATGGAAAAAGGAGAGACTGATTTTATTCAGGCAGTAAGCGAAGTACCAAAGGAATGTGAGCCACTCATATGAGCAAGTTCCCACGTTTGTTATCTGGAGGTGCTGACAAAGAGTAACATCTACCCCTCTCCTCCTCCTCCACCTCCTCTTCCTCAAAAGGGAAGAGGGATTAGGGGGTCCCAGCAGATGGCAGTGTGGCCAGGGCCTCCCCAGCCTCAAAGCCAGTTCTTTGCACCTGCACCTCTCGTCTAAGACGTGTCCCCAGGCTCTCCTTCTGGGGTTCCCCTCTGCAACACCCTCTTATCTTGAGATGGTAATAAAGAAAATACGATTTTTCCAGCCACGTTTTCCCCCTTTTCCTTTGAAACTTTTGCCAGTGACAGCCCTCAAAAGCTGGAAACACAGTGCTATGTCAGCTGTCCTCTGTTCTGTGGGCCCTCGGGGAAGAGAAAGTGCACATGTGCATGGTGACTCTGTGTCCTGGCTGGAACCTAGACGCTGGAGCAGGAGATGCTGTCCCTCTCCGCAGGAATAACCAGCTCCACAGGGCAGAGGAGCGGACTCCACCAACGTCCTCCCCAGGCGCAGGGAGGAGGAGCTCAGGGGACAGATGTTCCTGTTCTTTTTGCCAGCTTATGTGTGCTTTTGGGTAAGTCAGTGCTGTATGGTAAATGGAAACTTGGATGGATAAAATACAAAATAAAAATTCACTCAAGCTGCCAAGAAAAAAAAATCAAATATTCTTCTCTGATGCCAAATAATTACCTAATTTCCTTTAGGTCTGGAAACATCAGAGAATACATAAATGAAAGTGGCTGATATTCTTTACCATATACTATTTTCCTATAATCTTTGAAAGGAAACATAAAGTCCTAGTGTATAACATTATGCAAAATAAAGTATTGTAAAAATTTGAATGCCTCAGTTAATTAACTCCTAACAAGCATAGACGGGAGAAAGAATAAAGGATTCAGAACTTAATGGTTAAGTATTCTTTTATGTACTGAAAAACATCTACTGTTTACTGAAAAACATCCCATGATACCCTGAAACTAGATTTCACCGAAGAAAAATCCCACTTTGTTGTTAGAAATTAACACTACTGAAATTAAGCATATTTCAAACAATCCAATTTCTTGGTCTGAGAGGTCAGATAGCAGTGTTTTACATCATGGACTGCGGGAAGCAAGCTGCTGCGCCTTCTTCACCTGACTCCTTCTTCCTGGGAAGCCACAGAACCTGCTGCACAGAACCGCGGGAAGGGGCTGAACCTTCCCCTCCCTGGACCAGAACCTAGGGTTCTCGGGTCTAGTAGGCTCCCGGACAGGACCGCTGGCTCTGGAAACTGAGCCTGAGTCAGTGTGCTCAGCAGCAGGCACTGAATGAGAAGCAGCCCAGCTCCATTAGAGCCTCCAGCTGTGAACTCCAAAGGGTCACAGAGCCACTGTGCTGGCCAGCTGTCCTTGGCTGTCCAGCTGAAAGGGGCCCAGGCAGCTGAGATGACCGCTCCCCAACCAAGTTCTGAGCAACTGTGAAAACCAAGCAGTAGCTCCTTGGAAGCTGTTAGTGCGGTGGACTCCTGTGCCCCTGAAGTTTTTCTCAGAAGGGAAGAATGAGTTAGTGGTGCACAGTGCTGCTGTGAGCAGAGAAGAGGACCTGGGTCAGAAGACACCCACAAACAGTCTACAGACAGTGGGTACAAGCGAGAAGGCCTACAGGGGCCAAATGTAAAACTCCTAGGCCCCCAAGCAAACACACAACTCCTCCTGGTCAGGCTCAGAGCTGACCCAAAGACCCCAAGGCTGAGCCCTGTGTGGCACTGGACACAGCAGAGAACACCCCCAGTGTAGTGGACCCGACACCTCCTCCTGGACAGCATGCCTTCCGGGTGCAGATGTAACACCCCTGGAACCAAGCACAGCACTCCCCAGATCAACCTACTATGGAAAGAGCAAATAATTCTAGGGCAGAATTTCACCAAAGTAAGTGATCAAGAAGAAATGTACAAACCACCCCACCGTACCAAACCACCTATGCATCCTCATGGTATTTCTGAAACCTGTGTGTGTGTGTGTGTGTGTGTGTGTGTGTGCGTGCGCACGTGCAAGGAAACAGCAAAAGTACCATTTCTAGCCTTGCTATTTCCCTGTCTGCAACTCTAGTTCTGCATAAGCAAAATGCAAAAGCTGCGCTCAGCTCAGCCCTACGGGGTTGCTGTGGGAACCACACATGGCAGTGTGTGGGGAAGCAACCGTATGGTGTGAGGACATCCTAGCTGTCCATTCATCCTAAGGGGCCCACGTGCCACCTGTGATTTACAGGGAGGGCAAAAGGAAAGCTTAAGACAACGAGCTCATTAGTGTTTCGCTGAAGTGGTCATGAAAATCTGGGCTGTTCTCGGGAAAGCAGTTTGCTCAGCTTAGGGTTTTCACCCTCCTGCCACTCTCCAGGTGCAGCAGATCAAGTTTCTCCTCCACCGGGCACACGAGGGCAGGACTGACTGGTCACTGGGTCAGCTCCCCTCCTTCCTGATAGCTACAGGCTGCAGCAGCCTGGGATCCCCCAGACTTGGGGCTCTCAGATCTCCCCAGTAGCTTAAGCTGGAGAGACACTGCACTCAGGCAAGTTTCCTTGGAAATGAAGGCTTTGATGCAGAGACAGGGTCGCCACCGAACAGGGTCCTTGGGATCATGCCTGGTTTGTGTAAGTTTGTGTAATTCTCTTAGGGTCCTGCTGTACTATGTCCCAGACACATCAAGCTGTGGAACCTCGGAAAGCTGATCGCTTCCCCCAAGGACAGACCCTAAGACTCCTGGGTGGGGGCAGCAGTCCCCAGCGTCATCCAAGTGATTACCCATGTACTTGTGAGTCCACAATCTCAAGTTATTTCACCTTAAAATATGTTGTTGAAAATGAAGAGTTTTACCTTTTCATATTCAGCAATGCCCAAGGTATTCCAGAGGGAGTATGAAATGCTGGTAGCAATTTTACCCCAAGTTCCACTGCTTTCTTTCGAAATATCTGAAAAGTTAAACAGTTATGTAAGCTACGGTTGCAAGCAAAACAAATATTCTTACTCTTAGCTCACAATTACCACTCTTCTATTTTCACATTGCTTTCCTGAAATAATTAAGGTCTCTTAAATTAACAGGACCACCTTGTAAGGTAAGTGGCCCGAGAGCCGTTGTGCTCCAGGATTGGTGCCCCTGGTCTCAGCTGCATAGTAGCATGATGTGGGGCACAGTTTACTCACTATGTGCCCCCCTACTTTACTCACTGTGGTTTGGGGATCTGGATCACAGGCACCCTGGGGGAGCTGCTGTCCCTGGAGACACATCCTCCCCTAAGAACCAGGACTGAGGTGTTTTCCACCCTTGGCCTGGTGCTTGCAAGAACCCAGTGACAGGACTGGTTTCAGAAAGACATCATAGGTGACTGCTAAGTCCTCTCAGCATTTGAAACCTAGACTTTCTCTGAGATTAAGTGTAGCAGACATGCAAACAATTCATGTAGGTGCAGCTTCTGCCCAGGGTATGATGGGGGAGCTTACACATGCACAGAACACAGATCAAAAGGAGTGCAGACGAAACCTCACAGGTGTTCGGGGGAGCAGGACGGACCACTGCCTGAGTGGGGCTGGTGACACCAAGGCTGAGACAGGATGGGCGGGGGACAGGCAGGGAGGGTGGCTAGCAGGGTCACCAGGGAAGTGCTAGTGAGCAGGGGCAGGTGGAGGAAGGAACACAGAAATGTCACAGGACCGTCACAAGTTGGGGTGGTACTCAATGCAAGACCAAGAATTTTATTCTGTTAGAGTAGAAATCAAGTTCTTGAGCAGTTAGTTTGGTTGAGCAGAACCATGTTTTAGGAAGTTCAGTCAGACGATGTCTATGCAGTCTTAGGGCACCCAGAAGCCCTGTGTTATCTGCTGCAGGACACACTCTGGCAGCTCTTCCCAGAGCACCTGCAGGTGCCTTGACCCCTCTCCCAGAAGCTGCATGCCTGTGCCTGGTGGGCTGAGGGCTTTTGGGTTCCTTTCAGCTTCTCAAATGAGGGAGGAGGGAAGAGGCTTGTGGTACAAGGAGAATGGACATCTGCTTGTCCTTGGCCAGTGGGCATCATTCCTTGGAGCTGCTGCCACAGTGAAGGGTTTGGGGTGCCCCACAGCCTGGGCTCCAACTAAGGGTTACACAGAAACTCTGCTCTGAGGCGGCCACCCATCCTCCTCCTTAGGAACCTAGCATGCACTGAGGAAGGAATTCCACTACACAACTTTGGCTGGCAATCAGCTTAGACAAACTGACATTCCTGGGGATAAATGTGGACACAGGTTCCTAATACAGAGGAGGGCTAAGCAGTGGGCACCGTCTCTCTACTGCTTAGTCCTGTTCTCGCCAAGCAACAATTCCTCATATCAGCGGCTCATCATTATATGGAAGAGGAGGTGAAGGAGAAAAGTGATCAAAAGGTACCTCTTCCCTCCTCACCCACAGTATTCTAGACTGTCTTCCGCTCTAAGGATTTATCCAATCACTGTGTAGCCACCTGCTGACCTGGCTCCCATCCAACTTTTAAACTGGTAATTAACATCTTTTCTAGATACTTACAAAAAACGGAAGTCAAACACTGTAACTAAAACACCATCTTGGATACAGCCTCATGCAGAAGAGCTAGGGGCCTAGGCTTTGGGGTGGAGGATGCCTGCTGGAATCTCAGCTCTACCACAAACTGGGTGATCTGGGGTGAGTGACTCACCAGGTTCCTGCCAGCTTATACCACCAATGGTACAAGCATGACCATCCCGCTGGGTGGCTTGTACCAGCGGCTGTACATGCGTGACTTCCAGACCATCAGATGGGACAGTCTTGAGTGTGCCACTGGTGGTCCAGGGCTGCCCAGCAGCAAGACAGGAGTCAAACCGCTAATCCCTCTGTGCCTAAATCTCCTCATCTGTACGAGGGAACTGCCACAGCACTTACTGCTGAAAGGTTGTGGAAACAAATGGGCAAATTACCATATGCGAGGAGCTCAGGACCCAGAATGATCACTGTGAAAGCTCAGCGGTGGCTTCTGTGATAATGATCATGGCATTCCCCGAGAAATTCACATATTTAGTGCCTGAAATTCTTGACTTTTATACAATTGCTGTTTTGGTGCCTTCCACCTACCCACGTTCCTATTTCTCTGTCAGTCGGACCCAGCTCCTTTCTGCCTTCTATGCATTTTCCGGCACCAAGCCCTGGGCTCCCATCACCTCTTGCACCCCTAAATCCAGCTTCCTGAGGTGGCTCCAGATCTGTGTCCCCATGAACACGTGTCACCTGGGTCTCGCTGGGCCTGAAACAACACGTGCAATCCACTGTCACACACAGTTCCCTGCCCCACCCCAATTCTCCTGGGATCCCTTGGGCAGCAGGTAGTAGGTGTGCCGGCGTGCCTCACTGAGAAGTCTGTCATTCTCTGCGGGCACAGGCTGTGTATTCATCACCAGACAAAAGGAAAGGGGTGCTGAAAAAGAAGACCCTCTTCTCTGGCCTGCTGTTACTCTCCCTCATTCCTACCAATCTGCTGTACTACCGGCTTCCTGTTTACCACAGTGATTCTCCAGATGTCAGAACCACAGCCCCCGGGCGGGCATCAGACCTCGCTGCTACTTCCTGCTCCCTGTGAGACTGCTGGGGCTGCGGCTGGTGGACCTAACACTCACTCGTCCAAGTGCAGACTGCCTCAGCAACTTTACTGGCATCCTGACACGCCCCGTGCCACCTTCTTGTACTCAGCTTAAACTCCTGCATCTTTCAAGGCTGAGGTCAACTCTCGACTTCAGACCAAGTTCTTTGTCTTCCGTGAAGCCCCACTGACAGCTAGTATCACACATGCAGCCTTCTAAACAGTAAGATGAGATCTCCAAACCCTGTTACCCTCTGTGTCCTGTGATAATTTTTTAAGAGCAGAGACAAAGACTCTGATTTCTTTGGTTGCTTCTTATGCATCTCCTGGATTAAGCTACTTTGTGCCTAAGCCCTAAGTGTATGGAGAGCAGCACGTGGGTCCTGTGGGAGGGGAGGAAGCTGTTCATGTGCTCAACTAACAGGACTGGCAGCCGCCCCATCAAGAGTCCTCTGGCTATGAGGCTCTTTGCAAGGCTGGGCCTGGCTTGTCCTTCTCTCCTGGAATGCATTTAAATAACCCTTGCAGAGAGAGGCCTTTTCCTGAGGGCCCCACACCAAGTGAGCCATCCTCACTGCAGCTGATCTCCTCAGCTTGATTTCTAACCAACAACAGCTTCCTAATCGTCTTGCTTGGTTGTGAAAACCCTGCCAGCTAACAGCTAGATGAAGACATGGCCACTTCCTTGTTCACTGCTGCAAAAACAACTCCTGTCCAGCAGAACAGTTGTTGGTACTCAGTAAGTGCTCATTTAATACATGAGTGGAACAATCACACATTGATTAACTTATCTGGGGCAATATGAAGAGGAACTTTTGATGCTATATTACTTGGAAAATGCCCTGTGCTAGTTCACTAGTTACTATTGCCTGCAAATGATCACCTCAAGCAGTCTGAAGTCTGAACGTTGGGAATAATTAGAAGACAATTACAGGGTGGTTTTGGATAAAAATATTAATTATCCTATCAATGTTTCAAATAAAAAACCATATACAAGCCTCCATTAGTTTCAATTCTCAATATCTGATTTGTTACCTCCTTAGATTTGAAGAGGAATCCAGGTTTTAAAAGGGAGCACCTTTCCTCCAAAGTGATGTGCGCTTTATAAAATAGCTTGTAAGATTAAAATTGTGAAAAGAATGAAAGAATGATGTCACAAATCATTGTAAAGGGCACTTCAGTTTGAGCCAGCACATCCTGGAAAATGTGTTAGAAGGCAAATTATTACAGAACGCCTGCAAACTGGCCTCTGTGTGCGTGTGTGTACCTGTGTGTGTATCTGTGTGTGTGTGTGTGTGTGTGTTTGTGTGCATGTGTGTGTGTGTGCGTCTGGGTCTCAGCTTGGTAGAGACTGAGGGCGCCCTGGGGTGCAGACCTGTATCTCCCTCCATACCAGATCTGATGGAAGCTTCATCTGGCTGGTTCTTGGTCTGCCCATAAAATGGAAGAGCAGGGCTGGCAGTTTTAACTCTTGGTTTATTGCTGGAAAAACTGGTACTGAGAAGCCACAAAACTGGGACTAAAGTGCACCTGACAAAGGAAGTAAAATTAGTATTTTTTAAAAGACAGGAGATATTAATTTTCCACCCCATTCTTTGTTGATCTTGGGCTCTAAGATTTGCTGGCACCTATATTTACGGTGGGGAAGATGTTATAATAAGAGGGCATGATGAAAAATGACAGTTCACAAAATGTAATCTCTACTTATACAGAAGATATTTTCTTTTCTTTGTTTCTTAAAAAAAGACCATTAAAAGAAAATAGGGTTTTGTATAACCAGCAATCAGTTTGAGATGAGCAGACATTTTATGATCCAAGAATACTAAAAAATATTTTGCATTAGAGATTCTGATTCTATTCACTACAAAAGTCAAAACTAATATAGTTTGCTGAAAGAAAGGTGCAAAATAAGATGAAATAGCTTCCAAAATAATAGCTTCTAAAATAATCTAACAACTTTAAATAAGAAGTTATATGGCCTAAGGTCAAGAATTTCAAAATAATCACATCAAAATTATATTTTTTCACTACACTTACATAATATCATATTGCTGCTTTGCTCAATGTTTAAATAACTTTAAAATTTAAAATCAGTCAAATGAAAACATTTATGTTTTTCTGTATTTTTAGAGATAGGATTAGACAAGGTGTAAACAAGATGCTTGGCTTTCTCTGTCTTTCTAGTTTACAGTTCCCTGAAGAACTGCAAAAGAATCGTCTACGCTCCAGGGCGAAGAGTGAGGAAAGAGACAGGAGTAAGGACAGATGGCTCTGGATGGGCCACTGTTTTGCTCAGACACGCTTCAGTTTAAAATGCACAATCAGCATCAGAGCCTTTCTTCAAATGCTCA